AATTATAAGTTACCCTGAAATTTTTGGAAACTAGGAAAGACTTTACCGGGGATTGAACTCAGGCCCTTGCACTTACCAGGGAAGCACTTATTCCACTGAGCCATCTCCCCGGCCCAGGAAAGACATTTTTTACCTGCCTTTTATTTTTTTAAGAAAATAAAAAATAATTTAAACAACGTTAGAAATGATACAGAAGAGCCAGCCAAATAGCTCAGCGGATTAAAGTGCCTGCAAGCAGGTACAGACAGGGGCAGAGGGTTAGATCCCCTGGCCTGCCATGCCAGTCCCACCCCTGGGGTGTGTTGAAATGGCAATTGAGACTGGGCGAAGTGGCACACGCCTATAATCCCAGCTCTTGGGAGGCTGTAAACAGGCAAATCACTATGAGTCCGATCTAGTAGTGAGACCTTGTACATACACCCTGTAGACCCTTCCCTGAATACAAAAAAAGAAATGATACAGAATTTCATTAAACAAGATGGTAGGAATTCAGCAGTGATTGTTACAGTGAATATTGTCATCATATTAGTTGTTCAGATTACCAGATATATGCATGCAAATTGAAATGACAAAAAAGAAAAAAATAATAAACATTGATCTTCCTTTCAGTAGACCAGTAGAAATCAGCAGTACAATTGTCCCAGCTATCCTGTATATATACATATATATTTTTCCCATCCCTTCCTTTCTTTTCTTCTCTCCCTCATCCCTGTTGTTCTTCCCTTTGAACAGATCCTTTCCCTTTATATATTGGGTTTTGGGTTTGGGTTTGGTTTGGGTTTTTTTGCAGCACTGGGAATCAAACTTGGGACTTTGTACTTGCCAGGCAGGCGCTTAGGCCACTGAGCTATATCTGTTTCTTTAAGGACTCCTACCTTACAACTGCTTCCCTTTCCAGGCCCAAGTCACTCACGCCTCACCCCCACCACCATGGGAAGCCTCCCATGATTCCCTTGCTTCCCCACTCACTGAAGATTTAATTTTCTGTATATTTAGATGTATTGTGTCGGGGAGATGGCTCAGTGGAATAAGCACTTCCCTGGCAAGCGCAAGGGTCTGAGTTCAATCCCTGGTTCCGCCAAAAAAAAAAAAAATAGAATCACCTACATTGATTATTTTACCAGCATCTTTGTGTCCTTATTAAATTGTTTTGTTTTTCTAATTGAAATGTTAAATTCCCGGGGCTGGGTAGATAGCTAGGCAGTTTGCAGTTCCACAGTCTAAGCGCCTGCCTGGCAAATGCAAGGACCCAAGTTCCATCTCCTGCGCCACATGTCATGGTGCCCTGAAACTAAGTGTGGTGGTGCACACCTGTAATCCCAGAGCTAGGGAGGCTGAGACAGGAGGATCACTACAAGTCTGAACTGCATAGTAAACCTGTATCAAATAAATAAATGTTTTATAAAAGAGATGTTAATTTCCTAAGAGCAGAAACCCATGTGCGTAGAGTAGCATCTAACATATATAGGTCCTTAATAAATCCAGTCTTTGTTGAAGGAATAAATGGAATAAATGAAAATCTTTAGGAAAAATTTATGGGTGTCCATCTTTTAAGGTACTAAATGAAAATTTTTCTTCGATTTGTCTTTATAGATGATATTTAGTTGGTTGCATTGCCTTTCTCATCTTGATAAGTGCTCACTTTTTCAGGGAGATTCGTTGTCTAACCAGTGCTTAGTAGACTTAACATGTAAAAGTTAGTCTATTCTTCTGTAAGAGATCCACTGCTTAGATTTTTGAGGGATCTGTAAAGAGTACCAGTTGTTTGCTAACAATGCATAGTTTATAGACCTAGGTATCAAAGTTTGCTTTCTGTCTATTGCGCTATGCTCAGTAACAGTACAAGGTAGGTTTTGGAGTTTAGGCAGTAGCTTTGGAACTGTTCTCATTTCTATTCACTGGGTCAGTTTCTGAAAGACCTAAGACTTAGCAAAAGCTATTAAAGCTGTTATTTCTAACCATCACCAGGGCTTTCCATGTGGGTGGTAACCAGAAGCATTAGAATAAAGAACCTTCAGCCAATGTGCTAAGATTTGAAAGTACTAGGCCAAGAAATTGGATATTGAAAGAAAAAATAAAACTCTGAAAATAAAGAAGAAATTTTTAAAGAGAGGGAAAGAGACAAGGTGAATATTGTTTTGTTTGACAGAAATGAGTCATAGCTGAGCATAGAATTAGTGTTAGTAATGTACCCACATCAAGATGGGGAAACTGCATTTTCTGGTGGAAAAGAACGTATGATCAGCCTGAGTCACTGCCTCTAACATTTAATTAAAAAGAATCCTGAAGTTCCATAAGATCCACACAGAAATCTTTCCTGTTTATTATTGTATAAACAGTGCTACCATTCCTCAAACGATAACACATTAAATGTAATAGAAATTGATATGTTGAGTATTTTTAAAGGAACTTAAGGAGTGAGGTATGGTAGCACACACCTGTAATCTCAGCACTTGGGAGGCTGAAGCAGGAAGATGGCCTTGAGTTTAAGGGCTGCCTGGACTACAGAGTAAGACCCTGTATCAAGAAAGCAGAAATTAGTTAATTAATTATCTTCTGAATATGAATAGGATATATACCAAAAGTTAGTCTGTAAATTATTGTTGGACCACATCCTGAAGAAACAAATATTTTCCCTAAACTGTCGCATAAACATCATGGGTATGCTTAAAGGGCCAATAGTAGCCCTTTTCCAATTTTAAATAATGCCAGCCCCTAAACAGAGTAATTTACATGCATTGTCTTCATTCTTAAAGCACTGTAAGATAGGCCCTGTCTCTTTTATGATAGAAGATAGTAAACAAAAATATTCTTAAAAGCTTGTTCAGATTACACAGCAGTGCCATTAGGATTGGAATGTAGATTTAAAAATTAACTCCAAGCTCTTAGTCTATGCTGTCCTATTTTTATATGTAAGAAATATTTGCATATTTTACATACCATATACTTTAGTGCTGGATTTTCTATAATATTCACATTGTACATTGCAACAAAACTAAAGATACCTGATAACTGTAAGATAAAATATTACTGCTATTGCACAGGTGTAGATCACTTACCACAGGGGCAAAAAAAGCGTTCATAAGAAGTGGCTTACACTCAATAAAATTATTTTTAAAAAAGAAGTGGCTTATTGTACGGGGGATATAGCTCAGCAGCATAAGCACCTGCCTGCCAAACTCAGGGTCCTGAGTTCAATTCCTGATACCAAAAAAAAAAAAAAAAAAACAAAAACCCACAAACCTGGAACAAAATTATTTGTATGTTCAGAATTGTTTAGATTTGAGTTTGCCTTTTGTTTATTGATTCAATTTCCCAGCATTTGTCTAAAGTATATTTTATTTATTTTTTAATCATAACAGTTCACAGAAGAAAAGCTTGGCCAAGCAGAGAAGACAGAATTGGATGCTCACTTAGAGAACCTCCTTAGCAAAGCTGAATGTACCAAAATATGGACAGAAAAAATAATGAAACAAACTGAAGTATTATTGCAACCAAATCCAAGTAAGTAACATTACCTCTTAGCTACCTTAAGTACTGTTAATGAGTTTTTAAATGTTAAAAATGGACTTTATTGTGGCTTCAAGATCTATGAGTTTTACATATCAAAACTAAAGGACAAACAGTATATGCTTTCGTTTTCTTCCCTAGTGCTATTATGATATGACCATGTTGCAAAGTTCCCTAAACTTATTTTAAGACAGTAACATGATTCAATCTATGTGTCATTTGTTAGAATAAGGTTCAAAAATAAGCCTGTCCTACCTTGAGTGGGACTTGTTGTCTTTGGATGCCATATGATATTTCTTACTCATTTAAGGCATTTTAAATTATATACCATCACCAAATGTGGTGGCTCACACTTGTAATCCCAGCAGTCCAGAGCTTCAACCTGGTAGATTTGTGGAAGTTTGAGGCCAATCTGGGCTACATCATGAGTTCAAGGCCAGCCTAATTTACGTAGCAAGACCCTGTCTCAATAAATAAATAAATAAGCAAGGATCACACTTTTTAAAAGTAGTAAACGTTTATCCTCTTGTTCTTCTGTATCCAAAAGTGCTCACATGTATAACCTTTTCTATGGTGTGTTGTTTGGAATTAGCAGATAAGCTCATTCATGATGGGTTAACAGAAGAATACAATACAGTTCCCATGTAGTAAAATAAAAGTTTTTTTGGTTATTGTTTGTGCCATTGTTCTAAAGTTAGGCGGATTTTGTTTTTTAAAGTGGATTTTGATTGGTCAGACTGACCCTTTTTTTTTTGTAAGCCCTATTGTTTTTAGTGCTTGATTTTTTTTTTTCCATTAGCTAAATTTTTCAGAAATGTTACACATATATATGTGTGTATATTTATATACACACGTACATATATGTATTACTTTGTAGAAGAGCTGACTGCCTTTTTAAAGGTTTCATGACCTTTTGAGTGACCTATTGAAACAAAGCAGTTATTTACTAATACACCAAACATCCCATTAACAGTAAAACCAATTTGTGCTTCATGTTTAGACCTTTGACCTTTTTTTTTTAACTTTGTTTTGAAATCAATCATTTAACTTAAAGGATCTTTTAAAAACTTTGCTTTGGGGCTGGAGAGATGGCTCAGTGGTCTAAAGCACCTACTTGAAATCAAGCTTGGCAAAGCACAGGGACCGCGGTTCAATCCT